GGGCAGCAGTAGCTCAGTCCATAAGGATTTGGCTTGGGAACCGGAGGGTGGCCGGTTCAAGTCCAGCATGGACCATAAGCATAGAAGGTGGACTGGTAGCTGGAGAGGTGCCAGTTCACCTCCTGGGCACTGCTGAGGTGCCCTTGAGCAAGGCACCGTACCCCCCAATTGCTCATAGGGCGCTTTTCCTGGGGGCTGCCCATCACCCTGTGTGTGTGTGTGTGTGTGTGTGTGGGATTGTGGGTTAATGCATGTATTAAAAATGAAAAACATGAGTGTAAAAAGAATTTCCCCTTGTGGGATCAATAAAGGAAGTTTAAGCTATGTTCGCTTCATGTTTAAGATAAAGAATAATACAACTACATGTTTCTCTTCTGTTGCTATGCTGCTCTTCTTCGCCCCCTCCAGGTGAAGTGTGATCACTACTGGCCTTTTGACCAGGATCCTCTGTACTATGGAGATCTGATCGTGCAGATGTTGTCAGAGTCGGTTCTGCCTGAGTGGACCATCAGAGAGTTCAACATCTGCAGCGTACGACACACCTGATCTTTTCATTAACTCTGTGTCTGTTCATCCATTCACCTATTCACCTGTTCATCTGTTCAACTGTTCATCTGTTCATCCATTCACCTGTTCAACTGTTCATCCATTCACCTGTTCACCTGTTCATCTGTTCACCTGTTCATGTGTTCATGTGTTCATCAGGAGGATCAGCTGAGCGTCACTCGTCTGCTCCGTCAGTTTCACTTCACAGTGTGGCCTGATCATGGAGTTCCAGAAACCACACAGTCCCTGGTGCAGTTTGTCAGAACCGTCAGAGATTACGTCACCAGAACTGGATCCGGATCAGGACCTACTGTGGTCCACTGCAGGTACACAACTACACACTGCAGGTACACAACTACACACTGCAGGTACACAACTACACACTGCAGGTACACAACTACACACTAAAGGTACACTACCACCGTAACTATACACTGCAGGTACACAACTACATGCTGCAGGTACACAACCACCGTAACTATACACTGCAGGTACACAACTACATGCTGCAGGTACACAACCACCGTAATTATACACTGCAGGTACACAACTACACACTGCAGGTACACAATTACACACTGCATCTACCTGAGTGAATGTGACTGACTGACTGACTGACTGAGTGTGTGTGTGTGTGTGTGTGTGTGTGTGTGTGTGTGTGTGTGTCAGTGCTGGTGTGGGTCGTACAGGCACCTTCATTGTTCTGGATCGAGTGCTGCAGCAGTTGGACACCAAGGACACACTGGACATCTACGGCTCTGTGTTTGACCTGAGACTCCATCGATCACACATGGTGCAGACTGAGGTACCACACACACATACACACACACTCACACTCATACATATACACATTAACTCACAAACACAAATACATACACACATAAACCCATACATACACATACACACACACACACACATAGATACACTCAGACACATATACAAATAAACTCACACACTTTCTCTGTGAGTTGATGTATGTGTGTGTGTGTGTGTGTGTGTGTGTGTCAGTGTCAGTACTCTTACCTGCATCAGTGTGTACGAGACGTTTTGAGAGCCAGGAAGCTTCGCAGTGAGCAGGAGAAACTTTTCTGTCCCATCTATGAAAACTACAGCAGAGGTGAGTGATGATGATGTCACAGCTGAACGATGATGTCAGAGCTCACATCTCATCATCACGTGTTGGTTGTTGTTGCAGAGACGCTGAACTCCAGACGTTGAAGATTTAAAGACGACAGATGTGGAGCTTCACAGAAACACAACAATTCTATTTTTATATCCCTCCCTCTTTACATTTTAATGATAAGCTGTACATGTTTCATACCTGTCTGAGTATAATGTTTGATTATCAATCTTTATCAATCATGTGTTTGACATGTGATGAATCACAGAAACTGATCATCATCTACTGCCCCCATGTGGCTGTGAGATGTCAGAGCAGCCTTCTCTCATTTCAACCTGAAACCAGATTTTACACATGAAATGATTCTGTCATCACATGTTCATCACATGTTCATCACATGTTCATCACACATTCATCACACGTTCATCACACGTTCCTCAAAGATGTGATTTTACAGAAAGTTAACTTGATGTATTTTTTTCGTGATGTGTAATCACCTCATTAAACCACAGACTCTGATTATTCATCACTTCTCAACACAAATCAATCCTCATAACACATGTAGTATTTTGAGGTTCTTTAGTATTTTACGGAGTACATGGCTCCAGACTAACTTTTTCCACGAGTAGCACTTGTGCTTCTTACTGAAAATTTTAGGGGCACCAGCACAAAATTTTGATGCATCACTTACGACTATACCTTTTCCCAATTTAACTAGATGGGATAAATAGACAATAAACAAAATAACAACCACAACAAAACAAGTAAACAAGGAACTTACAGAAAGCCTCTCCCTCCCTGTAGAGCTCACCCCCACGAGGCTCCACTTCCCTTGAAGGCTCCCCTAACCCTTTAGCTCTTCTGCCCTGACTGAACCTCTAAACCATCAACGTCCTCCAAGCTACTTCCCTCAAGACTGATTCTATTCCTGTCCTCCACTGTGTCCACATGCAGGGACCCTCTGACATCAGAGTTAATCCTCTTCTGTGCTGAGAATCCTGTCATATAATATTTTTTTTTTTGCACTTTTACTTTTGTTACTTTAAAGGAATAGTTCACAGAAAAATGAAACTTCCCTCATAATCTCCTCACCACTATGATGGAGGGGGAGAAGTGTTTTAGTCCACAAAACACTTCTTGATTCTCAGGGGTAAACAGTGTTGCAGCCAAATCCAATACAACTAAAGAAAAAATATAACATGCCTCCACACTGCTCCTGTGGTGCCATCCAAGTGTCCGGACGCCCTGGAATTCTATAAAACTCAAAACAACGTCATTTATACGTTTCTTATCTTTTTTCTGTAGTTTTAATATGTCTGAAGAAGACGTCACCTTGGCTGCAATAGTGTTACAATAACTAAAATGGACTCTTGAATAAACATTCAGCATTTGGCTCAGGGTATGTAACCAGATGTCAACAGGATGGTTATGGTTTACAAACTAACAATCATGTATTTAGTAATTAATCGATGGTGTCGGATCATGAATCCAGATCCTCCGGTCACCGAATCCTGACTATGAGCATCACGTGTTCCCTAGCCCCTCACCCGAAGCTTAACCATCACAACTAAATAACTAATCCTAAACTAAACCTAATTTTAACCCTCAAACAGTCCTTTGAATTTGTGAGGACCAGATAAACAACTTATGACTATAGATAGAAGTACACACACAATCACACACACAGGGTTTCTCTGAGCCTGGTTATAACAGCTGGTCACACTGTCTCCAAAAATATTATATTTCACAGTACTCTGAGGTGTGTTCACAGTACTCTGTCCTTCACAGTACTCTGTCCTTCACAGTACTCTGCTATCACAATACTCTGTACAGTACTCTGCGTGGGGCAGCAGTAGCTCAGTCCATAAAGATTTGGCTTGGGAACCGGAGGGTGGCCAGTTCAAGTCCAGCATGGACCATAAGCAGTAGCTGGAGAGGTGTCAGTTCACCTCCTGCGCACTGCTGAGCTGCCCTTGAGCAAGGCTCTGTACCCCCCAATTACTCACAGGGCGCTTCTCCTGGGGCTGACCATCACTCTATTCTACAATCTGTCAGTACGGTTTCAGTACCCTTCTTAGTACTTTTCACAGTACTCTTTACAGTACTCTTCACAGTACTCTTCTTAGTATTCTTGTCGGTACTTTTAACAGTACTCTTGTCAGTACTTTTAACAGTACTCTTCTTAGTACTCTCCACAGTACTCTTCTCAGTACTCTTCTTAGTACTCTTCACAGTACTCTTCACAGTACTCTTGTCAGTACTCTTCTTGGTACTCTTGTCAGTACTCCTCTCAGTACTCTTCACAGTACTCCTCTCAGTACTCTTCTCAGTACTCNATATATATATACTGTATATGTGTGTACATGTGTGTGTCAGTTCCAGGTGCAGCTGCAGGACTCTCTGATTGGTGGAGACTCGTATCACCTGGTTTCTCTTCTTCAGTCTGAAGGTCTGAGCAGCTCCACCCTCAACACTCTGGACCAATGGGTTACCAAGGTAACAACACCAGCTGGTCACCGTGGAAATGGCTGTAGTCTGTTTTACCATCTCTCAATGAATCGTGAATTTGATTCATGGTCACATAAGGTCACATGACCTCCTCTGTCACTTGACCTCTGCAGGATCTGTGTGGGTGTGGTTTCAGCAGAGTCGTGGTCGTGTTGAAGTCTTTACGGATCCTGTCCGAGAACAGAGGCGACGCTCAGACGCTCGTAAATCATGGACTGACCACAAAAGTAATCTATTACTATACTCTACAGTACTCTAATACTTTACTGAGTAAAGACTATTGATCAGTTCAGATGAGTTGGTTTGTTTATGTGTGGTTGTTTACTCTTTGTGTGTTTGTTTGTTTATGTGTGGTTGTTTTCTCTTTGTGTGTTTGTTTGTTTATGTGTGGTTGTTTACTCTTTGTGTGTTTGTTTGTTTATGTGTTGTTGTTTGTTCAGGTGTTGTTGTGGTTCAAGGCTGTCTGTGACCTACTGACCTCTGACCTCCATAAAAGCTCCGCCCCCCTGCTGAGCCTGACTGAGGAGTTCTTCGACTTCTTCCTGGTGAGGAGCATGCTGGGAAATGAAAACCTCAGCAGACATAGTCACATGTGATCTGACCTGAGAACAGGTGACATCATCATTACAGATGTAACATGGACTGTACCTGAAACTGTCTCTCCCTCTGTCTGTCTGTCTGTCTCCCTCCGTCCCTCTGTCTGTCTGTCTGTCTCCCTCCGTCCGTCTGTCTGTCTGTCTCCCTCCCTCCGTCCGTCCGTCCGTCCGTCTGTCTGTCTGTCTGTCTCCCTCCGTCCGTTCGCTGTCTGTCTCACTCCGTCTGTCTGTCTGTCTGTCTCCCTCCGTCCGTTCGCTGTCTGTCTCACTCCGTCTGTCTGTCTGTCTCACTCCGTCTGTCTGTCTGTCTGTCTGTCTGTCTCACTCTGTCTGTCTGTCTGTCTGTCTGTCTCTCAGGTCCTGTCTCAGGCGTCTCTCTCAGGTTTGTGATTTTAGTTCCGAGTTTATTTACTTTGAGTCACATGCTCCTGAACTCACCTGTCTGCCTGTCTATCTACCTGTCTCTCTCTCTCAGTCAGTCAGCTGTCTGTGGTTCTCCTTCAGTTGGCTCAGTTCACCCTGGAACCAAAAATCCACTTCCCACTGAGACTGGAGGTAACCATGGAGACAACTAATTCACTCAATGGTCTGTGCTGGTCTGTCCTGGTCTCTTCTGGTCTGTCCTGGTCTCTGCTTGTCTGTGCTGGTCTCTGATGGTCTGGTCTCTTGTTTCAGGCCATCAGAACCTTTAACAGCGTCCTGGAGTCTCTGAGCCGAGAGCAGCGGAGACTGATCCAGAACGAGCAGAACCAGAATAAGATACTGTAAGAAGCTGATACTTGTCTGGTCCTGAATCCTGTCGGGACTGTAAACCCTCCATTTTATACCTGTCTGTCTTTTTGCCTGTTCCCTTTCTGTGTGTCTGACTGTCTGACAGGGTGCAGGTCGCAGCAGCCGTCCTCACAGTCGGAGGTGGGTCTAAGCTCTGAGCTTTATTGAAACTGAGTCATCTGCAAAGAAGTGAAAACAAATGTAATGTTTGAAAGTGACCAGTAGGAGGCAGAATGTCAGTTGTTTTCTCATTCAGGCGGCCATGTTTGTAGTTCTAACTGTTGTTGTGGTTTGAGACTACGAGCTGCAGGTCAGCCTATCAGAGGCTCTGTGTCGTCTGACGCCCAAGAAGGATCGACAGCAGAGAGCCAGTCAGTGGTTCTGTAGTAGTGACATCAGCGGAGCATTCTGTGACATCAGAGACGGAGACTTTGAGGTGGTGAGTGGCTGTCTGTCTGAACACCTGTCTGTCTGAACACCTGTCTGTCTGAACACTGGTCTGTCTCTCAGGACTGCAGACGTTTCCTGAATTTTGTGAACCGTTACCATGGCGACCAGAGGAGGTGATAAACGAATGTTAAATATAACAATAACATTTTAACATATGACATCGTAGGAATAATCATTTGTTTCCTCTATGTTGTGTCTGACAGAATCTACACCTTCCCTTGTGTCCGGGCGTTTCTCGATTCCACTCAGGTGAAACATTTCATCCCCAAACATAAATCTCAGGTCACATGTTGACCTCATGGTCAATCCTGTTTTCTTCTTCTGTAGCTGTTTCCACCTAAAGACGACAAACTGGACGAGTTCTGGATCGATTTTAATGTCGGTTCAGGATGTGTGAGCTTCTTTGTCGATGAGCCTCAGGTATTTAACTCTACTACACACTCTTTGCTCTATTTTTTACAACGTGTGTTGTATGTTTGTTGTATGTTTGTTGTATGTTTCAGGGTTTCCTGTGGGGCTCCATCCACCTGCTCAGAGAGGATGTTGATAACTTCCGTCTTCAGGTCAAACACGATGGTCAGTGACTGAAAAATATTTAATTGTTAGCTGTTAGCTTTAGACGGTGCAGTCGTCAAGACCTTGTACAGTCGTCATGGATTCGTACAGTCGTGAGCACTTCAGTGTTTCACTCATTATCACCATGGTAACATGGTGGATCAATAACTAATCAATGATCTTAAGAAGAAGAATTACTTTTATTGTCACGTTAACACTTTTACATGCATACATGAAATTGTTCTCCGCATTTAACCCGTCCAGTTGGCACCTGTTTAAACACACATAGAATAATTAATGATTGCATATAAACATTGAGATCCGTCTCCCACAAATGATAATGTGTTACCATGGTAACCATAGTCTCAGGAACCTCAGGAAGTTTATTTTTTAACCCATTTACTGGAAACTGTGTGTGTTCCCAGGAAGCACTGGGGCAGAGACAGTTCTCAGTGTCCAGCTGATAAATCCCATCATGCATCACAGCAGCCGAGGTCAGAGGGTGGAGTTGAGCTTCAACTGTGAACATCAGAGAGAACTGGAGGAGGCTGTGGAGAGAGTCTTTAAGGTACCTGTCTGTCTGTACCTGTCCACTCACCTGTCTGTCTGTNCAGTACTCTTCTCAGTACTCTTCACAGTACTCTTCTCAGTACTCTTCTCAGTACTCTTCACAGTACTCCTCTCAGTACTCTTCACAGTACTCTTCTTAGTACTCTTCACAGTACTCTTGTCAGTGCTCTGTTGCGCTCTGTGTTGCTGCGCATGCGCAGTGCAGCTCCGTGAAGTGTCGGAAGTTGAGCAGCAGTGATTTAGCTCTTCATGCTAACAGCTAACAGCGGAGACTCGCTCTCATCGTCTCAAACTTGGTTTTAGCCGCAGAAAGTTGGTGTGGACGGAGGCGGTGAGGCCGCAGTGGAGCCCGGAGGACCGTGGATGGATTCTCGGTGTTGTTCGCAGCTGGATTGTGACGGACGGGGCTTTTAAAGAGCTTTATAACAAGTTGTGATTGTTTTTTGGCGCTCTGGCAGCGGAGAGGAAAGATGGAGGATCTGCGGGTGTAGCAGCGGCTAATGCTAGCTGGCGCCTCCGTCTGCTGCCAGCCTCGGTCTGGGACAAACCTGAACTGCTTCCCCGCTCCGTCGACACGTCTGGAGGGTTTGATTGAACAAGCTGCCGGTGTCTGGTGAGTATGGCTCCTTGAAACGAAACGTGTTTTCAGGGTTGTTGGAAGAGTCGGCGGGCGGAGAGCGTCGCTGTGTGGAGCTAACAAGTAGCATAGGAGCTAATCAGCAGGAACGAGCTTTAGCTTATTGAAGCCTAGCTCCGTGTTAGCTGCCATTACACAGCTATGACACACACACACACAACAAACACACACACAACTCTCACAAACAAACAGACTCATACACATACAACTCACACACAAACACACACACAACAAACAAACACACTCATACTCACAAAACTCTCACACACACGACAAACACTCATACAACTCTCACATACACAACAAACAAACACACTCATACACAACACTCACACACACACACACACACACACACACACACACACACAACACACACACACACACACACACACACACACACACACACACACAACAAACAAACAAACACACACACAGCAAACATAACACTCACATAACAAACACACTCATACACACACAACTCACACACAGCAAACACACTCACACACACAACACTCACTCAACAAACACAGCACACACAACAAACACAACACTCACACAACAAACATATTCACACAAACCCACACACAGTCAGTTTAGTTTAAGGTTTCTT